TTTGGCCAACACAATATTTTCAAATGGGTTTGTACTTGCATTCCTTTTAACAGGCTATCAGTCTTGTACACTCCATTGATGCCAGTGCCTGCGAACATGGTCAACCCCAACCTATCTCCTTTAATCACAAAACATGCCTGTCCCCTAGGGCCACTGGAGTTTGCAGTCTCTAGCTTACACCAATACCCTGTACCCTCGCCATGGTGGTTGAAACCTTCTTAGCAGCCAGCATTATCAAGTACCCACTCCATCCAGGGGGTGCTGAAGGCTTCCCATGAACCATGCCCCTTAACCATCATGTGGAATGTGAGACAGAAACATTGTGAGCCCCACTTTCTAGACAAAGAAACTGAGGACCAGAGCAGTCACATGACATACATGTGGCAACACTCACATTTGAACTCAGCCCTCTCTAAACCTCCACATGCTCCTGCTGGACACGGCCAGAGAGAGCCAGAAGGTCCACGGCCCCAGTGGACTGTTCCCATCCCTGTGGCTCACCCTATGGCTCTCACCGTTCTCCTGGGCAAAGCGGGAGGCCTCCAGGAAAGTAACCTCACGCTCCAGGTCCAGGTCCTTCTTGTTGCCACAGAGGATGACCACGATGTTGGGGCTAGCCAGTGTGCGGGCGTCTGTCAGCCAAGCAGCCAGCGAGTTATAAGTCTCCCGGCTGTGGAGAAGAAAAAAGGGAGGTAGGTGCAGGAGAGGGGCCACCCAGATCCTACCCCATCCACTTCGTACACCTACCTGGTGATGTCGTACACCAGCAGGGCTCCAGCTGCCCCTCGGTAATAACTCCGTGTCACAGACCTGGGGGGCCAGGGGGACCCAGTCACCTCAGAGGCTGGGGTCTGCCCCAAGACTGCCCCCCTCTGCAGAGAGAGACTGGTGGTTTGGAGGCCCCCTTCACTACTGGCCCTTCCCCCAAAACTTGGCATGATCTGGTCTCACTACAATGCCTCTCTGTCTCACAGTCTCTATCTCCCTCAACCTCTATATCACTTAGCTCTTTGTTTGCCTCTTAGTCTTTCTCTGTCTTTGACTCTCCTGTGTCCCTGTCTTTCTGTATTCCTTCATTGGTCTGTCTTTCTCTCTGTCTCTGTTGTGTGTGTGTGTGAGTGTTTAAATCTCTATTTCTGTCTCTGTCTCATTCTCACATTTTCTGTCATCTCCCTTTTGCCTAGTCCTGGCCAGATGCTATGCAACTACATCTGTTTATCCCTCTTCTGCTGTGTCTGTGGGAGGCCCCCTTCCCAGTGTGGCCAACTGTCTGCATCTCCCTGTACCACCAGTCTGGGTCCTCTAGAACGCATGCAATCATTCCGCAGCATTTATTGAGCACTTACTGCAAACCCAGTTTGTGTCGCACACCTGTCTTTCCTTCGCCCTCTCTGTCTCTGGCCTGGCGTCTGTGCACCTCACACAGTAAACTAACACACGATTAACTTAGCAGCTCTTCTTCTCTTGTTTCTCTTCTGTCTCTTCCTCAGACTCAGGGTTTCTATATGTCTATCACCTTTCTCCAGACATTTCCTGAAGACATACTGTGCACTGAGTAACTATTCGTTACTCTCTCTGCTAGTCCTGTCCCCCTTTCCCTGTCTTTGTTCTCTGTCTCATCTCAGTTATCTTTCTCTTCTTCTCGGTCTCTCTCTTTCTCTCTCCTCTGTTTATCTCTTTCAAGTGTCCCTTTCTCTTTCTGTTTTAGTCCCTCTCTTTCCATCTCTACCCTCTGATGCCCACCCCAGGTATCTTTCTCTTCAGGCTTGGTCTCTCCCTGGCTCTCTCACCCTTTATTATGCTTCTTTCTCAGTCTCTGTTTCTCTCACTGTCTCTGTCATCCTCTCTCCAGGCTCCTCCTCTCTTTGTCTGTCTGTACTTGCTACTCAGTCTCTGTCTCTCTCCTTCTGCCTTGCCTGCCCTCTCAGTATCCCCTTGCCCCTATCATTGTATCTCCAAGTGTCTCTGCACACCTCTCTCTCCCATTTCCTCTCCTCTCTCCTCCCCCACCCCCACTCTCTCTCTCCTTGGGAGCCCAGCCCACTTACCGAAACCGCTCCTGGCCAGCTGTGTCCCAAATCTGCAGTTTCACAGTCTTCCCACCCACGTTAACTACCCGAGATCCGAATTCCACTCCGATCGTGTGGTTGGAGTCCTGTTTGACTGGGAGTAGTGGGAGGGCAAAAAGAGGCAGTGCAGGGGCTCAGAGGATTCCCTGTCCTCCAAGGCCCCCTCAACCCGTTCCCATTTCTGGGGAGACTGAGGCTCAAGGAGGAACTAGCAAAGAGCATACACCATAGCAAGAACCAGGCAGCCAACACTGGAGTGTATCTATGGGCAGTTCTGCCCCTGTCCATCCAACCATTGCCCACTTATTCACACCATGCCCATACCCATCATTCAGTGCTCCCGGGACCACTCCCAGACACTCACATTTATTCTCAATGAACTGATGAAGAAGACATGATTTGCCAGTTCCTGCACTGCCAATCACCAGGAATTTGAAGAGAAAGTCTGAGCAGATGGAGCCAGAATCAGGAAAATCCAGACAAAGAGAAACATACAGGAGAAAATATGGAAACCAAGAGGCCATTACAGTTACAGGGAGAGAAACAAATACAAGCAGAGTAGTGGGTAACAATAATAATAGAAAATTCTTATATAATGCTTACCATGTACCAGACACAGTTCTAAAGTTCTTTACCTACATCAACAACTCCCTTAATCCTCAGGAAAACTCTATGAGGGAGTTGTACTAATAATTATCCCCATTTTCCAGATGAGGAAACTGAGGCCAGAAAGGTTAACTCTCTTGAACAAGGCCCCCCAGCTAGGCAAAGCGGGTATTCAAACCCAGGCCAACTGGCTCCAGAGTCCAAGATCTTAGCTATTACAATGCTAAGGCCTCTTTTATCAAGGACTACAATCTCCTCATTTGCCGTGGACATGACCACAAAACATTTCCCCAATAGGTTTTTTCTGCTATGTTGGTAGCATAGCATTCAGCCTACTGGGAACATTTAAAAAAAAAAAAAAAGACTACAATATCACCCTTGCCCCTCATGACTTCACCTGCTACCACTCTGACTCATTAATTCCACTCTAGCCTCTGGCTTTCAGTCTACTCCCTGAAGATGACAAGCTGCTTCCGGCCTCAGGGTCTTTGCACTTGTTGAATGAGTGCTGCTCCCTCTGACTCCTAAACCAGTGATCTTTCTACTGCACCCTGTCCTCCCACCTCCTATCCATCCATCCTGATTTTCCAATTCTAAGTCCCTCCTTCCTTCCCCTCTACCCAAGGCCCTGCCCCTATTCTCAAGCTTGAGGCCCACCCCTTGCCACTAGCCCCACCCCATAATTCAAAGACAACTCATCCTCAACCCTATTCCAGACCTCTCAAGCCAGAGCAGTCACAGGGTCCAGAGCATCCCTTCAGGAAACCCTTTAGTCCATCAAACTCGATCCCTGCTATTCAGCCCTGCCCCAACCACGCAGGCTCCGCCCCGACGTTTTAAGGCCCACCCTCTCCCTCAAAGCCACCTGATCCATCATGCCAGGCCTCCCTCAATTCCCGCCCCAACTATTAAACCCATAACCAGACCCGCAGGCCCCGCCCAAATCGATTAAGCTCAGCCTCAGACCCACTAAACCCCTCCCAGCACACACTAGGCCCTGCCCCATAATACCAGACCCCGCCCCCTGACTAAAGCCCCGCCCCATTCCCGCAGGCCGCATCCTTCCAGGGCCCGGACACCCGACCGCAGCAGACGCCCAGAATCCTCACCGTAGGTCTCGGCCATGACTCGGTCGTGGCCGCTCAGGGCCGCAAT